TTAAAGGTGTGCACCACCACTGCCCGGCTGCTAATTCCTTTCTTATAGGACATGTTCTTTGTAGACAGAAAGATGAGCCTCAGTTGCATACCTTATAGCCCAAATAAAGACATACAGCTGCCACTACAGCTGCTTATATAATGCTATTGGAATATCCTCTCCTGTCCTAAAGGATGCTCTCCTCAGATGGCTCTACCAGTAGTCTTGTGTCATTTACCACAGCGGATACAGAACAATTACTACAACAAGGAGGCATGTCCTTTACCACATACTGGGGAAAAGCAGTCGTATTGGGGTTGCCCTTTATGGATTCTCCACCCTCAGACAGATTGGCCTTATCTGCTTGTTTTACCATCCATTTCAGGGGCTGTGGGACGTCTCTTTGTCTTACTTTGGTTATGGTAATCTGCTTGGACACCAGTTGTGTTGCCTGACTATTCCTAGGAAGAAATGAATAAACACCTTTATCTCAGATAGCACACTGTTGACAGATCGAAGAAGCAGTTGCACCCATCTGGAGGAAGCAGTAAGTTTATTAGGGTTAGTTTTGGTAGTGTGATGGCTCACAGGTAGCTGCACTGTTGAAGGGCTGGCCCATCCAGCATGATGAAGCCTGAATCTTAGACCTTCCTGAGTCTGATAGTTTTATGAACTTTCTTAACCTCTGTGTGTATCCTGCCTGTTGAATTTTCTGAATGTGGTAGTCCTCACCTTTCTTTACTGAAGAGACTGTTCAATTTGGAGGACATACATTCATAAGAGCTATGGCTATACTTTATTCTTTTCCCCAATGCTCTAATTGATTTACTAATAACAGTTACATGCTTTTGGTAGGAAAGTTTCATGTAACCCATTTTTTTAATAATGTCTTAAACAATTGAAAATTGTTTTTTTTTATAGTTATTGAGGTTAGGCAGTGAAGGCTCCAGGTGCTGATCATGGGTTCCTGGGAGAAACTCTTCTTGGCTGATGCATATTTGCCTTCTCACAGAGAAAGGGAGGATGGGGTGCAGAGAGCTTGGGTGCATGAGACGACTGTGTATGTGTGAGCAAAAGCCATGCAGTGCTTAGTTTGTACGAGACAGTCCTGTGAGAGTGGAGCTGTCACATAGGATGTCATTGAATCACCTCCAATAGAGTGGGGTTTGGGACTTCAAGATAAGAATTTTGAAGAGAACAAACTGTGGAAATGATAGGTGCTCTAGTGGACTAGAGTAAATAATGAAATACAGTTTTCAAGGTAACATAAGCAAGAGATTTGAACTTCACACTTAAGTTCTTTCAGCACTTGTCTTCATGTCACCAAGGCTAGTTTTGATACCACTGATGGTTGGGTCTGAGACAGTGGTTGGTGGTACAGTAATAGGATGGGACATTGGTTCCCTGTGACTAGCGAGACCATAGGAGGATGTGTTTGTCCAGCGGCTGTATTGATGTGTGTGCTGTGGCTGTGGTTTCCCGGGCTCATCAGATAGTGACTTCATTTTCTAGAAGCTGGCATCTCTTACCTGTTGCTTCTTGTTCTTCCTTCTTTTTGTTGTGCAAGTTATTTACTGTCTTCTGAACAGGCAGAAGAAACAACCATGTCTGGTCAGCATGCAGTTTTGAAAGTGTCAAGATTGTATTGGCAGGAACCTGTGAACAGTTTTTTGATTGGAGATTTGAGAGACATTGATCATGTTTTCAGAGTCCTAAAAGGTTATTTTGGAAAGAGGTGAATTATTTACTTTTATTTTAGATTCGTACTTTCTCAAGTCCTCAGCCTTGAAGGCACAGATAAACCTGCACTGATGCATAGCCACATGTCTCTTGAGGATTCTGGGACATGACCTATAATAAATTCTGTAAGGCTCTTCCAAAGCCATAGGATTAATTGGGTATTAATCAAATCAGCAAGGACATGAAAAGGTTTTTAAAAATTGTTTGAGCCAGGCAGTGGTGGTGCACACTTTTAATCCCAGCACTTGGGAGGCAGAGGCAGGTGGATTTCTGAGTTCGAGGCCAGCCTCTTTGAGACACAGTTTCTCTGTATAGCCCTGGCTGTCCTGTAACTCACTCTGTAGACCAGGCTGGCCTCGAAGTCAGAAATCCGCCTGCCTCTGCCTCCCAAGTGCTGGGATTAAAGGCGTGCACCACCACTGCTCGGCGAGAAACCTTGTCTTTAAAAAAAACTGTTTGAAATAGTATGAATGTTATGTTAAAATTGGGTGATGAGTCTCAGTATGTTGGAGGTAGGAGAATGCTCTCTAGTGAGATTGTATTGTTTATCAAAAAGAGGAAAGACTACACTTAAGATATTACTCAGATTCAAAGGTTGGTTTTTGTTACTAACTTCTTTTACCATAGAATTTGATTATTTTGGTTCAGTTTATTTGTGTCTTGCTGTACGAGTAGAGCTGAGCAGATGTGGTGATCTGTTAGCACTACATACACCTCACTCGTCAGCGCTCGCTCTGTCAGCATAATGAAACACTTGAGTGAGGAGAGTCCTCTCAGCTTTTCCTTTTGGAGGTTCTAGAATGTGATGCTTGCTGTGCGATCTAGGTGACGGCCCTCATGGGCAGCAGGAGCGTTTACAGTGTACCTGTGATTGCATGAGGCAGGCATCCAAGGAACTTAGTTTGCCCTCTCCTGAGAAACGTCTAAAGTGTTAGCATGAGAGCATTTCCCCCATCTCCAAAATGGGGTTTCTCTGTGTAGCCCTGGCTGTCCTGGAACTCACTTTGTAGACCAGGGTGGCCTCGAACTCAGAGAGACTCACCTGCCTCTGCCTCCTGAGTGCTGGAATTAAAGGTGTGAACTATCACTGCTGGCCACATAAGAACAACTTTATTCTGTTTGTTGCCCACAAATGTGTCCAAGCCTCCTTTTTTACACTCCACTACCATACTTGGAGTCAATCTTAGTGTCTTTTGGGGCCTGATTCTAGTCAGATGATGTAATGGACACATGGGTCCCCCTAGAGGACAATGAAGAGAAAGGCTGCTTGTTATATTAACTGGAATCTTAGATTGCTTCCTGTTGTGCTGTAGATTGCACAGTTGGGCTGTAGTTAGCCAGTTAACTTCTTATATTGCTTATTAGTGTCAGTCACCATCATCTTTAACTTTGTAGCAGTTCTTTTTTGAAAAATCAAATATTAGACATAATCAGGGAGATTAATGACTTCAAAAGTGACTGGTGAGACCATGAAGACATAAAGGGGACTATAGACACCTTCCTCATTGGTGACTTAGGGAGTGGTACACATTAGTGGGCAGGCCCTGGGAGAGAGTATGTGAACAGACTAGAGAGAGTAAGTCTCGTTTTAAGAGGAATGGCAGGGACCTGAGAAGAGTGCAAGAGCCAAGAACAGAGAGGAGGGAGGCTGACCTGGCTGATGGAAACAGCCGGTGCCTTAAATGTAGTTTGGTTTTGCCCAGAGGGCAAACTGTTTTCTCTCTGAGCATTATATTAGGAGTTTTAAAACAGATCAAGAGGCAGATTGTTTTGAACCGTTAGATTCCTTGAGATTTAGAAAGGTTTATTTATTGATTATTCTTTGCTACCCTTCCCCTTTCATTACGGCTCACTGTCTGTCCGTAGTTAGCTTGGCACACTTAGTATGGACCAGACTTTTTCTCAACACTCATAGACCTTCCTACATCTGTCTCTCAGATGCTGGGCTTAGAGCTGTGCACTGCCATGCCTGGCTTTAGAAAGCCTAATTGTGATAAAATTCACAGATAAAGCCAGCCATCTCAGTATGGTCATCGGGTATATTCACCACCATCGGGTATATTGTGCAACCATAATCACAATTAACTCTAGAATATTTTCTTTACCTTCAAAACAATTGCTAATCATAAGTTTTCCTCCGTTCTCCTAGTACCTGAAATTAAACCTAGGGCCTCAAGCATGCTAGGCAAGTGTTCTACTACTGAGCTACACACCCAGTTTTCTTTTTAAGGTAGTATAGTGTTTTCATGGGCCAGGCACAATAGTTACACATGCTTGTAATCTTAACCATTCTGTAGGCCAAGGCAAAAGGATTGCCAGCTTGAGGCCAAAATGGGCAATTTTGAGGTATCTCACTTCTCCCTAGGCTCTAATTCCTCTTTACGGCTGACAGTTAATAATACATAGCACGTATTTATCATCACTTCATGTCATTTGGGTTGTTGCTATTTTTCAATGAGTTTTTGACAGATTTTATATGAGTAATTCTGCAGTTATCCGGTGCAAGGTTTTTTTCTTTTTTGAGGCAGAATCTCTCTCTCTATAGCCCTGGCTGGCCTGTTCTGGAATTTGCTTATGTAGAGCAAGCTAACTTCAATCTCACAAGAGATCAGCCTGTCTGTTTCCCGAGTACTGAGATTAAAGGTGTCTGCCACCACATTCAGCATCAGAGGCACAGATTGTAATGTGAATGGTTATTTTTAGCTCATTTAGGTGTGAATTTGGGAGTGGAGTTCACTAGATCACGTGGCGACTCTTTAGTATCTATTGAGAAGTTGCCATGCTGCTGTGTTTTATTTAGTTTTTTACATTTGGTGTGCATACGTGTGTGCGTGTGTATGGGGAAGGGGGAGATGCGTGTCATAGCGAGCCTGGGGAAGGACCGCTTATTAATGAAGTGGTTCTGGATTTCCACCTTGTGGTTGGGAATAAACTCAGATTGTTGTTAGGTTTGGTGGCAGTCCCCTCCCCCTACTGAGCCACATTGCCAGCTCTTAAGCAGAGTCATAAAGTTGCTGCACCATTTGGCATTCACATTTGTAGTGTGTGAGGTGTTTAAGTTTTACATTTCTCTTTTTCTGACTTACTACAACAGAGCAAGTGTGAGGTACTGGCTGACTGTAGTTGCCCATTCCCTGTGCTTAGTGTTGCTGAGCTTGACTTCTTAAAAAAGATGTCCCTTATGTCTCATTGAGAATATAAAAAATGGAAATTCTAGTAGTTTCATGATTGTTTGGAGGCACTTGTGATATATTTAACATTTGCTTTTCTTTTTCCTTCAGTTGTATTCGCTGAATGACTATAAGCCACCTATTTCTAAAGCAAAAATGACCCAGATTACAAAGGCAGCCATCAAAGCTATTAAGGTGAGTAACATATTTTACTTTCATGTCTTCAGAAGAAAATAACCCTTGTGTGTGTGTGAGAGAGTGTACACACACACACGCACACGCACACGAATAAAGGGTCCTGTAGAATTCAGGGTCCTGTATCAAGCATCTTCCTGCCTTGTGTCCCACCCTATTCTTTTTTTTTTTTTTTTTTTGAGATAGTCTGTGGGAAAGTATTAAATTATCAATTTGACATGATCTGGAATTAGTTGGGAGATGGGCTTGGAGTATGCCTGTGGGAATTACCTTGATTGTGCCTTAATTGAGGCGGAAAGGCTTGTCCACTGGATGGTGGAACTATTCCTCCTGCCAGCGTCCACGCCTGTATAAACAAAGAACTTGGTGAAGTAGCAGCAGGCACCTGTCATTTGTTCCTGGTGCTGCTACTTTAAATTCTAACTTGTCACTCTTGTGGATGCCTGGCAGTTAGAGGACAGCTATCTCTCATTTCACCACAGGATGTGAAGATGGACTTTATTTGGAAAGTACTTTTAACCACTGTTCTGACTGTGCATGTGTGTGACCAAGTGTCTCAAGTTTCTGCATCTATAACTTCTCAGACATGACAGATTGACCTGGAACTGTACTGAGTTGCCTTTCTAACAAACTAGAGTGCCCTAAGAAATAGGAGATTCTGTTTATTTAAATGGGATTTACTAGAATGGTTTTCAGACTGTATTTTGAGTAGTCTACCAATGACCGTCTCATGATAGAAAGGCCAAGAGTCTGGTTGTTGTCCCTGTCTGGTGCTAGAGTCCTGGACACTATCTAGAGAGCTGCTAGTTTTCAGTCCTGAGTTGGTATCCTGAAGAAATAGGTTTAAAGTTAGTAAAGAATAAATGCCTCAGCAACAGGATAGATGAACTTGCAGGTAAGAATGAGGGCAAGTAGGAAAAAGCCAAAGCTTCCTTCTTTCTTGGTCATCTTTGTGGGCTGCCACCAGAAGGTATGACCCAGAGGTTAGGCGGGCTTTGCCACCTCAGAAGATCAGGTTAAGAAAATCCTTCATAGGTGTGCCCTGCAATTTGATGTTCAGTTGATTCCAGATGTAGTTAAGTTGGCAGCCAAGATTAATCTAAACTGTGAAACAGCCTGACACACAGTCACATTCTCCTTGCTTAAATTCCAAGTGAAAACAATCACCAGGTCATAACTGCACCTGATAGAAGTGTGCCGCATACAACTGCAAATGCACTATGTATTTCAGAATAAGTGGCACTGTCTCTTGAGGAATGCTCAGTATTTCAGCTGTTATCTCAGTCTGTATCATATGATATGAAAAAGAGATCAGAATAAAGGCAACATAAATATCTACATAATACATGTACACACACACAAACACCTTTTTAACAGAATAGGACAGAAGCTCTCATGTCTGTTACAACTGTCCCTTCGGCAGCTGTTGGCTCGCACCTTGCTTTTTTGTGGGTGCTTGAGAACTGAACTCCAGCCTGCGGGCTTGTTTCCCCAGCTCCTCCCTAGTATTTTAAAAGAATAGCTTTTACATACTTACTTCAGCTTTACCGTATTAATACATGCTCATTGTGGAAAATAAAGAAATCTACCACTTAGAAAACCTCCACATTTACATGAAAACACATTTTGAAAAGAATCTTCCAGCTAGAGAGAGGTTCAGTGGTTAAAAGCCTGCGTGTACTGGTTTTGCAGGGGACCTGGGGTTCAGTTCCCATCACCCACAAGGTGGCTCACAGCCACCTCCAGTTTTAGAGGGTTCAGTCCTTTCTGACCCCTAAGGCCACCGGGCACACACTTGGTTCATATATGTACATGTAGGGAAAGCACTCATACACAGAAAATAAAGGCTAAAAGAATCCTTTAAAAAAGCCAAAAAGAAGACAATCTTTTATAAATTTTGAAACAAGTATTTTCCTTACCATACAGGTGTTAGTTTGGATATAATCACATCATAGAGCAAAGGTGTTCTGATACTGCCTTTTGTCACCACGTTGACTGCAAAATCTTAAATATAACTAGGTAAAAGACTTGGAAATATAATTAATGTATTGTTTTTTTTTCTCTTATTGGTTGTATATAGATCTGAAAACAAATTGTGGAAAGAAAATAATTGGGCTTCATAGTGTATAAAGCACTTGAATTTTAGGAAGAGACCACGGAAAGTTATCCGTTGTTCAGATGCAGTGAGTTTTGAGTACTCTGGAACCACAGGGAAAGGTTGGACTTTCTGGAGAACATAGGACTTGTTTAAAAAAATCTTTTGAAGTTCAGTAATACATAATTTCTTGTCTCCTGGTCTACAACTTCCTTCCAGCAAAGATCTTAAAAATGAATGATTGCTTCTGATTAAGTAGGTACCAACATATGAACATTTAGTGATTCAAACATTAGCTCTAACAAATTCCTAATTACTAGTAATTACTACTAGAAGAATTCACTTGATTCTTTTTAAAGTTTTAAAAAATTAAGTTTGCATGTGTGTGTGTATGTTTAAAGATCAGAGGACAAACTTGCAGATATTTGTTCATCTTTTCCTTTGTGTAGGTCCTAGGGACCAAACTCAGCTTGTCAGTAAGGCTTGTGTGACAGAGAAGCACCTGTACCTCTGCTTGATAAGCCGTCTTGCCTGTCTTTGCTTGTGTGTATATGTGAACCCCCATATTTTTATGTAAAAAAAAAAAACAAAACTCAAGAGGTATAAAGATGGTGACAAGCACAAGAATTGTGAAGGAGGTTAGTTAGTCTGTTTTAAGCGCAACTGATAAGGCCTGGTGTGTATAAACTTATTCTGTTGTAGTTTATACTATCTCCAGTGATCTGATTCTAAGAATATGCAAACATGTATGTTAATACAAGCACTACTAGTCTAAAAATTAGTAATTGTTCTAGTTCATAGAGAACTGTTCAGTAGAGTACTTGTTAAAAGATTCAGTGAAGTGTAGGTTCTAGCACTATTTCCTATTTTCAGATGTCAGAAGAGAATAGTAGACATGAGATAGTTTGTAGAGTTTGAATGGGGGTTTTTGTCAATTGAGAGAAGCTCAGTTTCTACAGTGCACTGTATTGTCAGGTGTATTACTACTGCCTTTAATAAATAATTCCAGTTTCGGAAGCGTTGCACATTCTGGTAAGTACTGCTTTACCCCTTGACTCCATTGGTCAGTTACTGTTTGTTCTTTATTTCTACTCCCATATGATTTCTTTATTTCTACTCCCATATGATTTCTTTATTTCTACTCCCATATGATTTCGCACCCTTTTGGCTGAGATCAAGGGCATAAACATGCACGAACTCAAGTACACACCCTGACTTTGAGATGTCATTAAATGATAACAGTCCTTAATACTTGTATTCAAATCTCCTAAAAAGGTAGATATTTTCTTAGAAAGCACCCAAACTACAGTATGTTGATCATATGTATGCATTTTATTTGCATAAACTGCTTTTATACTAATATGCTTATAGTCACCCCATGTATACATTTCAGTGTTAAAGCTTTAATTCTTAATGTCTCTTCAATCTAAGGACCGGGGTTATCCTTTATAAAGCAGCTCATGAGACTAGAAGTGTAAGTCAAGTTCTTCAGAAGAGAAATGTTCTAGTCATGGCATTACTATTGTCATACTAAAATTTTGTTGTTTACAATTTCTATTGTATTTACTTTCAGGCTTATGTTGTATATTAATCTAAGTGTTTTCATAATTGATAGCAGCTCATGTAATTTTCCATGATTTATTAACAGTGCACATTCTTCCCTCTGCTTACAGGCTAAAACAGGCTCTCACGTTTATTAATGTACTACTTGGTCAGAGTTACTTGCATTTTCTATTATTGTCCTTAATTTAAGTATTAAAATGACACTGTAGAACATGGTTACTTTTTCTTCTCTGGAATAAGCATAACATTTGTCAGTGTGCAGTACTTTGCTGTCAGTACAACTTGTCAAAGCATGCTTTCCTAAAAGATTCCTTTGTTTTTGCTTTTTGACAAGGTTTCACTGTGTAGCTGAGATTTGCCGGAGCTTGTAGTCACTTAATGTGAGCCTGTCTGGTACTGGGATTATAGGCATGTATACTACCCTGATCAGCTAGAGTGGTTTTATGTAATAACTGTAGTTACATTCACTGTGCGTGAGTACTTCAGAGGATTACTTAAAGTCAGTGTAATGGCTAGTTTGCTGTAAAGGTGGAATGATGTGAATCCCAGAAGTTTGACTAAAGTTATTGTTTTAATGGACTTTTGGAGTTCTTCTTAAGCCTGTGGTTATCAGAAAATTTTAATCTAGCAAACGAATTTTAGAATCGTGTTTTCTTTTTTTACAGTTCTATAAACACGTGGTACAAAGTGTTGAGAAATTCATTCAGAAAGTAAGTACATATGTCCTTTACTACCTGGGTTAGATGCTCTGTAATTTGTATTGATGTTTATGTTCTCATTTATTCATTAGTTACTTATTTTTAAACATGTGATTTTACTTAAAACGACTATTTTTTATGTGTATGCGTGTTTTAACTACCTGTATGTATGTGTACCGAGTGTGCACTGGATCTCCTAGAGATGGAGTGAGAGCTGGTCGATTGACCGTTTGTGCTGGGAACTGAACCCATGGCCTCTGCAAGAGCAGCAGGTGCTTGTCTCTTACCCACTGAGCCGTCCTCCAACCCTTAGTATTCTCCTTTAAATTAAATGTTTACATTCTTTTAATGGACTCATGAAAAGGAACTCCAGGAGTTGCAGAGGTAGTTCTGCTGATGGAGTGCTGGACCAGCATTCCTTCTCCAGCACCTTGTAAGACAGGATTGTGTAGCACACAGGGGCACAGTGTAGTCCCTGCCATTGTCCACGCAGGAGATGATCAGGACATCAAGCTGTGGTTGAGCTCAGCCAAGTAGATGTCCATCCAGACCATGCCAGGTTCCTTCTCAAGACAAAAGTCACTCCTGTTTGTTCTATTTCTCATTGAGAAATAGAAGGAAAGCACTGTTTAGATACATACGAGAATGGTAGCCTTTAGGCCTATATTTTTATTAAATTTGTTCTCTCTTAGAAAGTTGTGTCATTGATTTTTTTTTCCCTCCAAATGTTACAAATCGTTCTGACTAGTCATTTTAAGCTTTATACAACTCTGTGTCTATGTTAAATATGGCTTAAATTATCGGCTCTCAACTCTTTGTTTCGCTCATTCATTTTGTCTGAGCCACCAATATGCATTAAGCAGTGCTACAACTTATTTTATAGATCATTTAGCTCCTTTTTCCAGCGGGAAACAAGGCAGATAAAAGTTGAAGTTAACAGTCTTATACTGTCTTAGTTATGGTTATTATTGCTCTGATGAAACACCATGAGCAAAGCAGCTTGAGGAGGAGAGGGCTCAGTGGGCTTCTGCTTCCACAGCACTGCTCAGGGTTCGAGGAGGGCAGGGCAGGAACCCAGGCTGGAGCTGCTGCAGGGGCCATGGACGCAGGATCACTGCTTCCTCACCTACTCCCAGTGGCTTGCTCCTGCTTCCTCATAGAACCCAGGAACATCAGGCCGGATGGCTGCACCCACAGTGGACTGGGCTCTCACATCAATCATTAATTAAGGAAATGCCCTACAGGCTTGCCTACGGCTTGGACTTACTGAGGCATTTTCTTGAGCGAAGCTCTTTCCTATCAGATACTCAAGCTACTTTCTGTAGCTTGTGTCAAGTTGACATAGAACTTTCTAGTACACAGACTTTCTTTATTAGAGTCTCAGTGTCTTGTCATAGTTCTTTGTACCCTTGTTTCTGGTTCGTCTGTCTAAGACTTATGCCTAAGAAACTTACAATTTACTGACTTATACATAGCATTAACAATTAGCAAGGTTGCAGTATATTATAGAAGGTGAAGGGATCACAACAAGATTACCATTTTTAAACTGGGTTGTCTTGAAGAATTGATAGAACCTGGTTTTGTCCCGCCCCACCCCCTTTAACAAAGATTATTTTAGCTGGGTGTCGTGGTACAAATCTTTAATGCTAGCATTTAGTAGAGGCAGTTGGATCTCTGTGAATCCAAGGCCAGCACCATAGTGTGTTTCAGGACAGCCAGGGATATTTAGAAACCATGTTTCACAAACCAAAAAATAAAAATAAAAGATAAAAAAAAAATTGTTCTGCCCCTTTCCCTCTCTGTCCCCTTTCTTCCTCTCTATCCACCCCCCACTTCACGTGTTCTGGCTGGCCTCCCCCTCTCTTTCTCTGCCTCTACTCCCTTCTCAACTCCCCGTCCCATCCCCCAAATGAGCTCTATTCTGTACTACCAAAATAAATAAATAAATAAATAAATAAATAAATAAAAATAAAATTTTAACTTATAGTTTTTTATTTAATCTCTGTGTGTATGAATGTTTTGCTTGCATGCATATAAGCATGTATACTGTAGTGTGGCTGATATTCACGTTGCATGCATGTAAGCGTGTGTACCATGGTGTGGCTGATATTAGCTGCAGCTGTAGCCATGTGTGAGCTGTCATGGATGCTGGGAGTCAACTTCAGGTCCTCTGCAAGAGCAGTAGACGTTCTTAATTATGCACTGAGCCACCTTTCCAAACCCTTTGTTTTTTTTTGTTTTTTGTTTTTTTTTGGGTTTGGTTTGGTTTTTCGAGACAGGGTTTCTCTGTGTAGCCCTGGCTGTCCTGGAACTCACTCTGTAGACCAGGCTAGTTTCGTACTCTCAAACTCAGAAATCCGCCTGCCTCTGCCTCCCAAGTGCTGGGATTAAAGGCATGCGCCACCACTGCCTCCTTTTCCTTTTTTTAAGATCCTGTTTTCTCCATAAGATACTGGTTAATCATTTTGGGATTAAGTAGTTTAGATAAAGATAAGATGTAGATGAAATCAAACTGCAAAGTGTAAAGTGCAGCATTAGTGACTAAACAGTTCCACCGGTGTGAATCTTTTTAAAGGGTCTAATGTCAAAGCCGGCACTCTTAAATTTGACCATGTGGGAATTGTGTAGGGAATGTTGCGCTGGAAAGCAGTGTGTGAATTTGGGGAGGAGACTGAGATGTGCATTTCCTCAGTTCCTGGTTGATAACTCATTGAAAAGTCAGTTTGCATAATAGTTAGGTTCAAGGGGGAAAAGAAGCCTTGCAGATAAATGGTTTTTCATGGATGGGCTTGGGGCGGAAGTATGTTTGATCAAGTAAGATAGGTATTTCAAGATGTCAAGAAGACTTCAGTAAGACGTCTGTAAGGCTAGTCTGGGGAGGAAGTGAAGTGCTTTATCTGTATCCCTGTATACAGACTGAGCTATGGATTCGTGTAATGGTTAAATAAACTTTTAATTTAAGAGTATTTAATCTTAGAGTAATGTGTGTGTTAGTAGGTCAGTGAACAGCATGTCATAATAAAACAGATTGCCTCTAACTTTCAGTTATTTTGAGTGGCAACATATTGTATAGATTAAGCATACCTAATCTAAAAGTCCAAATTCTGTATTGCTCTAAAATTCTAAAACTTTTAAGCCAATACATTACTCACTTAACTCTATAGAGAATGTTGAACCGGTAGAATTAACATTTGAGATAGTCCTAAGCTCAGCGTCGCTCTCTTGAGTATTAGCCCAGTTGTTATATATATACAAAGTAGTTTCTTCCCTTTTGTTTTTACACCTAATTCTATATATAGTTCCACAGGTTAAGCATTCACACCAACAAGCATCTTGTTCCCTTTTGATTTCCATATGAAGTGGCTGAGAACAGCCATGTTCTAGTTGTGGGATAAATGCAGGTTTTCATTTGGGGGGGGGATAATATTTCTGTTATGGAAATTTCCAACATATTCTCCAGATTGGCTATACCATTTCATGTTGCATTACACTTTGTAAACAAATAATACAAGTTCAATACAAGCATGTAACCCCTTGATGTTATCTATGGGCCTGTGTGTTAGTCATTAAAATTTTATAGAGTGATGGATAATGGTGACAAATGAAAAATTAACATTAAAGCTGACTTCTTATAGGATAACTGCTTAGAATACTAGGGCCTCCCACTTTGGTATAATGAATACAGCCAGAAAACAATCTGTGTTCTGATAATTCTCTGCTCTTTTTAAGTTGCACACTTAGGTATTTATTTGTGTGTTGTTTGTGTCTGTGTGCATGTGCATGCAGGAGGGTATGTGCCATGTGTCGCAGCATAGGTGGAGAGGAGGACAACTTGCTGCAGTTGGTTCTACCGGGTGGGGCCTGGGGATGAAACTCAGGTCCATCATGTTTGGTGGCAGGCGCATTTATTGGCTGAGCCATCTTGCCATCCTGTCTACTTTTTATAAGACTGAAGCAAAGAACTACAGACACTAAGGAACTGTAAGTTTTAGCAGTGCTATTTGAGTCCAGGTCTTGTATTAACCCTGTGTTTGTATTTAAAAAACCAACTTTGGTTATTGTGAATTACAAAATAATTTTTGAATTGGAGACCCCAGGATTTGCTGACTTTTCTATTATCTGTACCTAGTCAATTGTGTTACTTACCAGTTTGAAATGCACTAGACAAGTCTGTTTAGCTCCATTCCTGGAATTATGATTAGTCAAGCTCTTTTTTTGTCCACATGAAGCTTACCATTTTATATGACTGCTACAAATTCATTTGTCTCTTATATTCAGAACTGAATGCTGTCACTCAGCATTGTGTGTTTTAATGTAATCTGGATGCTCTGTTTTAGTGAGAGGCACTCAGTGCTGTTGTGGCTACTCTTAGCTACTGTTAGCCTGCGTGTGGTTTTCTAGGTTCTGATACTATTCTGTCAACTGTTACTGCCTAAGTTGAACACTTGGCTTTTATTAACCTCTAAATTTCCTACTCTTATGTTGGTAATAGAAGAGACTCACTTGTCATTTTCATGAAGCAGACATGGGAAACAGATAAAAATTATGACAAATACTCCTGGTATACTGTTTTCCTCCAGAAACCTTGATCCTATGCAAGTAACTGCTTAAAAAAAAAAATGTGTGCGTGTGTCTGTGTTTCCATATGCCACATTTGTGCAGTTGTGTTTAGAGCCCAGAGGCATTGGATCTCAAGAGCTGCACTGAAAACCAGTTGAGGCTACTCGTTGTGGGTACAGGGGCCAGAACTCTGGTCCTTTGCCATAGCAGAGTGGATTCTTAACTGATGAGCCATTTCTTCAGCCTCCAAGTATGTGTTTTAGAATGAAGCTAAAGCAGTCGGTCATCCTTTGCTACATTTATTTTTCCAGCCTTTGCTATTTTCTCAGAGAATGAGTCTTTTTTGAATGACATTTATTATACTTTTGTTCTCCCCATTTAGATGTGAACATTTTTATGTATCATCTAGTCTTAGTGAAGATTGACGTTGATTGTGTGTGTAGTCTTCACCCTTGGAAGGGTTCACAAAGATTGGGGCATTTAGGTAATTTGAAAGGAAGTCCTTCCAGATGCCCCTTGTCCACACGTTATTTTTACTAAAATTTCTTTGCCCTAGGATATTTTTGGTAAGTTCGAAATGCCACACTGTTTCAGTTTATATTTCATACACACTTTACTTTGCCCTGCTTAGTTATGATGGATGCTTTTGCCTAATGCTTTACTTTTTATTATGAAGTACACATGTACATATACAGAAAGTGGTCATAGACACACGGCTATGTTTTTATAAGGGCACGACTTGTGTAATTGCTCCTCATTTCTTGCAGTCAAACTAAAGCTGGCTGCCGTGTTCTAATCTCTTGCATTTGTCTGCCCAGGTAAGCATAGCCAGGCTTTGCTTTGTCCTCGCTTGCTGCTAAAATAAGCATGACTTTTGTTTTTAATTATTTACAAAATATTAGTTTCTATAACCAAACCCACATGGATAATACTTCCCAAATTAACAGCACAGCTAAAGTTGCCCAAAATTCAAATTTTATGTCACTAAACTTGGACAGTTCATAGACCAGCTTTTCAGATATTTAGAACTCCCCACACGGTGTCGCCCTAACTGTGCCCTGGGATAGCCACCAGCAGCATCACTAAGTTACCTGCAGGTACAGCCACTTGTATTTCCCCAGTCTCCTTTTGTTTTCCTTAATGGTGACTTAATATGTGGAAGCAGCAGCTCAAGTTGTAATGAAATGATTGAGTGACATGTGTTTACATGTCGCATAGAATGGTGCCAAACTTGCCTGAAGAGATCTTTGTCAGACAACCCTGACTAGTGAGAGCTACAAATGCCAGCTTGGACATAATTCAAATCTAACAAGTACAGTTAAAGGTGTAGTCACTCTGTCCTTATCCCACCTCCCTCCTCTTTCTTAGAAGAGGGCGTCAGATCCCATTATAGATGGTTGTGAGTCACCATGTAGTAGCTGGGAATTGAACTCAGGACCTCCAGAAGAGCACTCAGTGTGCTTAACTGCTGAGCCATCTCTCCAGCCCTTTATCTCTCTCTTAATAAGAGTATGTTTCTGCAGCATGAGAGATTGAAAATTATTGGAGTGTTTTTGAAGATTGTGTGTCTCAGATAATCTAACATGGTAATGACATTAAAAGTTGTTGAGAGGTGAGATGTGATGGTGCATCCCTGTAATCCCAGCTACTGAGGAGGTAGAACTCATGGTCATGAGTTCCCTACCCTGTCCAGCACCATACTGAGACCGTGTCTAAAAAGCAAACAAACCACGCTGTCAACAACAGAATAATTCAGATTTAAAATGTTGTAGAGGCTTAGGAAATCTTACTTTCAGTCTGAGAGAATTTTTGAAATTTTTTGTGTTAAGTATCTATGATTTATCTATCTAGAGTTAAATTACATAAAATATTTTGCTTTTCTATGTGTGCTAAGATGGCATAAAGTTGTGTGAGAAACTGCCCTGCAGTGTATTCATGTAAAGAGTGGGCCTCAGTGGTGGAGAAAGTGTTTGCCTGGGTGCTGTGCTGCTTGATTGTAGGGCTGCGGCCCTTCCAAAGCCTCAGTCTGCATTGCCCACGGAGGCAGCTGTTTGGGTGGGCACTAATGCATAGGGAATTTGTCATCAGAGTTTTCTGTAAGTCAAAGGAAAATACGCTTTAAGAACCACGTTGATAACTTGTTTTGCTTATTATTCAGTACTAACTTGTCTCATTAGCAACTTGCAAAAAAAAGTTAATTCTTTCTGTAAAATGCATTGTGTGTGAGATTTTTTAAATGTCAACATAAGGTCAGTAATTAATAAGGTCATTGTTTAATATGTAGCAGTGGCCATATTTTCTTTTTAACTAAGTGGATTTTATTTTCATTAAGTTAAAATTATTTTTTCTGAAATGTATTGGTTGGATAGGTAGCTATGTGAGTGTGTAAGGAAGATAGTTTTGGCCAGATACAGGAACTAAAGGGAAGTTGAGGGGGGGGGGAGGCACAAGGATAAATTCAGGTTTTCAAAAAGAACAAACTTTAAACAGGTGTTGCTTTGATTGTAAGTTTCTTCAAATAATAAATGTTCAAACAGCATCCTTATTGTCACCTTTGATGGACTATGGCAAGCACTTAGCAGCAAAAAAAATCTAAAAACAGTTCCTTCGAACTAGTGTTTAAATTTCTCTTGATAAAGACCAGTAAGGAATTCTGAAGGAACATATTAAGTATCCAGTAGACCTTTTGCAGGGTTAAATTGGGCTGTAAATAGCATTAAATGGTGGCCTAAGTATTATTTTTCTCACTGATACGTAAAACTCTTAAAATATGTTTTGAAATCTGTATTATAAAACAAGAAACTGTAGTACAACCAATTTAAGCTTATCCTCCGCTAGCTTACAAACAAGTGAGACTCAGACTAAGGTTATTTTATTTGGCTTTGACAATTACCGGGGGTCACTCCTAATCTACTTTTCTAACTGCTGGCCTGGCTACCTCCCCAGCGGTGTACCCCAGATACTTGCTGTTTCTCCTGGCCATGTGCTTATGGTTCTTCATGGGTCCTCTCTCGTCATGGCGGCTTCCTCCTCGCCTCTCATTCTTCCTTCTTCTCCTGGTTTCTCCTCACTCCTTTCTCTTCTCCACCCCCAATCAGGTCACTCCAAATCCACCTACCTACCTCTAATTCCTCCAGTAATTGGCTGTAGCCAATTTTATTTAGCCAATAGTTTTAAATCAAGATACAAGGTTTGCACAACAAAAGCTTGTAAACCTGAGAATTTGCTAGTAGGCCTAGACCTTCCGGTACGGAGTTTAGCATTACAATACACAGCAGCTGACCCAACCCCAACTAGAAACTTTTAAAAAAAGGAAAGCTGTTTTTACAGATCTGTGCAGGGTTTGTGCATGATTCTAAATATGTTGAGTCCCAAGAAGTGTTCTGTGTTTGTTCAGTGATTTCAAGAAAATAAAATTGAGGTCAATACTGGCCCTAATTATACCTAGAAGTACATCCTCCTTTGTGGTTGTAATTTTGTTTTAGTTAACTCGTTTTTAAAACAAGTTTTCTTGGGGCTGGAGAGAGGGCTCTGGTTGATAGCAGGTGCCTTTGCAGGGGCCCTGGGCTCTGTTTCCAGGACCTGCATGTCTGTCAGCTTACAGCCACCTGCAACTCCGTTTCCAGGGAATCCGTGTCCTCTTCTCTCTTTTGCAGGCATGTGCTATGCTTGTGGGGTACATGCATACACACACACAAAATACTCCTATCTGGAGTGAATAAAGAAAAGGAAAACCAAGTTTTCTTAGGTTTCTTGTTCTAGAATAGAAGTTTGATTCCAGCTATGCAAGTTAGGAAACACTGTGCTAAGAAGTAGAGAATCTTTCGTTTACAAAATAGATCAAAGATAAGTTAAAAAGACTGACTCAGTGGGCTAGTTTGAAAATAATTGAATGCTTTGGTGTTTGCAAATTTTCCCAGAATTTTTATGCTGATAGCTTCATGTCTCCTTTATAGATGAGGCATTTGAGACAATTGTAAACATGTGACTGAATATATCTAGCATGTTATAATAATGGCTGTTTCGTTTGTTCATTTACTGATAATGAAGTGTGAGCAGTGGGGTCTGTTGTGAGCCTGCAAGCGTTTTCTGCCTCTTTCCTGATTTTGCTTCCATTGTTCTAGCTTTTCAAATTCTTTAAATTATTTTAAAAATAATAATGTCTATCAGGTTGTTTTTAGTCACTGAGGTCATTTATACAGTGCTAGTTTGGAACTTGGGTGAGTAACAGTTGACCTGAGTGCCTTGAATAGCCAAAGTAGATTCTGTTCAAAATACATGCTATTTCTGATAGGAATGGTTAAGAACTAGACAGAGTCTGCCTATTCATTACAGCCTGAGCATGTTTTTGCTTAAGGGGGGTTTATAATGTCTTTCCTATCAAGGATTTTACCTTTCTGTTCCCCTCCCCCTCTCACTCTTCTCTCATCAGTGTAAACCAGAATACAAGGTACCTGGACTGTATGTTATTGACTCCATCGTGCGACAATCCCGGCATCAGTTTGGTCAAGAAAAGGATGTGTTTGCACCCAGATTTAGTAATAACATCATTAGCACTTTCCAGAATTTATATCGTTGCCCTGGGGATGACAAGGTATAGTATTATGTTACTTTATCCTTAGAGTCTTTAGACTACCTTATTATATGGCCTCCTGTTAACATTTCTTAGCTACTCTGATCTTTAATATTTAATTATTGTAGCAGTCAAACTTGTTTTACTCTTAGAACTTTTAGAGAGCAGAAAGATGTAATTGTGTTTGCTACTTTTTTTAATTTATTAAAACAACTTTTGTAAAAGAAGTGGCTATGGAAGTATTTTGAAATTATGTTAGATAGTTAGTAATGCATACAGCTGCTTTAGGATTGTGGTTATTTGAGTTGGTGTTTATATTTCAGTTTTGTGGAAAATGGAACTGCCAAGCAGTTTGTAGAAAAGTACATATCAGACTTCTTTTGTTGTAATTTTCTAAGTGCTGAAGACCAACACTCAGATTTTAGTGTGTGTAAGTATTCTGTAATTAGACGGTAAGGATCCAGAGCTAAGATTAAAAGGAGGTGGTTCCTTTCACATCTCTTCTGGAATTACTAGACAGGTACTTAAGTGGATACTGATTTGGGAGTGATACGGTATCCTTTTATCTGCTTTTAATAAAAGCTAGGAAAAGGTTAAGAGAGGATGAACAGGGCTGGTGATGGCTCACTGTTAAGTACACTTACTTCTCTATCAGAGCCCTAGGTCTGCGGTCCCTGCACCTGGATTAGGCAGGCAGCCAGCTTACACATTTCTGTAGCCCCAGTTCCAAGGGATTCAACACTCTTCCATTTTCTCTCTCTTCTGTTCTCTCTCTCCTGTTCTCTCTCTCTTGTCTTCTCTCTCTCTCTTGTTTTTTCTCTCTCTCTCTCTCTCTCTCTCTCTCTCTCTCTCTCTCTCTCTCTCACACACACACACACACACAACACAATCTACACACATATAAACAAAAAAAGAGAGAGTGGGCAAAGGTTTTATAAGGAAGAGTCACAAATCTAAGGCTTATAACAAGACTAGTTTTATTTTTAGTCACTGTCATGTCTTGAATTTTAAAAGTCAGTATTATAGGAATAAATTTATTATAGCATATTCCTTGTAAATATTCTTGGATATATTTCCTGGCAGTTCTTGTATTTCGTTCTAATGGCAAGCCTAGCTAGTAATCATAAAGAATGTTTCAGATATTCAGTTACTCACCTTAATGAGTTCTAATAATGGAATCTCGTGTAAAAGAATTCATTAAGTTGAAATAGTAATTAGCAACACTGATTTAGAAGTCATACTAATTTTCATGAATTTCTGACTGTTACAGTATACAGATCTATCTTGTTGTTGTGGGTTTCATGACTAACACCTCTCAGGATAGTCTTTATGGATGAGGCATATAAGGAAAGATTAACTGAGTCTGTAATCTCAGTAGTAAAGGAGGAATGTGTATTTAGATATACAGAATGATGTTGCTGGGGTTGTTACTTTAAAGAACTTCGTGAGTATCAGACATTGAGAAATGTTTATGTAAGCCTAAAGAATGCCCAGTACACACTGTGCAGAGGCAAGAGTTGAATCAGAGGGCTTGAACCCCTCATTATATAATTTTTCTTATGTATCAATTGAAATATAAAAATTTACACAACTGCATTTTACTTAAAGTGAACCAAATCTTTATTTTATATATTTAGCTATTATTTTCTTTCTCAAGGCTTGAACAGCAGCAGCAGCAGCAGCAGTAGCTGCTGCTGCTGCTGCTCCTCCTCCTCCTCCTCTTCTTCCTCCTCCTCCTCCTCCTTCTTCTTTTTCTTCTTCTTCTTTTCTTTCTTAAAAAGTAACAAATGGCCTTAGAATAGTAGTAATTGGTAGTTCTTGGGTAAAGAACCTTTATATTAAATAGTTGTAATTTAACTTGTGTGTTACCATTAAGGGGATGGCTTTTATTCTTAGTTTGGGTTCAAGTGATTGTTACTCTGATGTAACTGTTTGTATTTCAAGAAGTGGAAGTAATTGATGTTTATTTAAAATAATAATAAAAAACCTTTAAGGTTAAAATAATATGGCGAAACATTTTAGAACACCCTTCTTTGTTGGGCATGTACTTACCTGCAGACCTGAAGCATCTGGGATCTGTGAACTCTTCCTTTAAACAAGGAGACAGTAGGATTGTCTCTGCTCACTAACTCTTAGTATTCCTGATTGTGACAGAGATCTGTAGAACCAACCCAGTCGTTTATTGTCTTGAGTAAGATGTATGCAAGAATTGAGTCAATGGAATGTGAGAACTAAGATGGGATTTCACATGAGCACTGTTGGAGAACGATGAGGGTTTCAAGTGAGGTGAAGTAGTGTTGTGACTGATGACAGCCTGTAGCTTTGTCCCAGGATGCTTATGCCTAACACCTGCAAAGGCTAGCAGCAGGCAGCTGGTTACAGCACACACAGCTAAGGAAAAGGACAAGAAAAATCTGTTAGAGTTTCATTTTGTAAATGAAGAAATGTTGGTAACATTTATTGACACAGTTGGCTTAAGACTAAAGTGAATGAAAAGTGTCAGGCACATATGTCATTAGTTGTATAGGAGATGCTTAAATGCTACATGACTATGTGGACCTCACAAAAAAATGGGACTTAACCCTAAGTACTTAAGAAACCCAGAACAGGGCGAGAGTAAAACACCGTATGATATACCTGTAGGAGTGAGTTGGATGCACAGCTGCGCTCATAGGGCTGGTCAGAAAAAGACAAAAGATGGCAAATACACAGATTTTATTTATTTTTGAAAAAATGGTAGAAGACTCAGATTATTCAAAGTCACAAAATAATGTAGAACATTAGTCATATAAAACATAGTGCTTGCCCTGAGGGCCAGATTGAATAATGGTAGTGGGGTGTTGACTTTACCCATCTGGGAGAGGACAGATAGGTAGGAACAATGACAGAAGAGTAGAGGAGGGCTGTGCCTGCCTTGTGCTGTGCCTAGGAAGTAGATGGTTTGGGGTGTAAAGTACATTTATGGCAAGGTTCTTAGACAGGACTTGAGCTTAGTAAATTGTCCTTTTTCTTTTGGTCAGGGAAACATGTTGAACACAGGTGCCGAGCTATATTTCTTAAGTGGAGAAATATCCTCCCTAAAATTATTTAAAAGCATATAAAATGAAATTTGTTTAAGAGTCACATTAGATGAGGATTTGTCCTGAAGTTTCTTGTAGTCCAGCGGGTAAGCATTCTGTGAGTCAGGGTTAAAGTTCACCTTTCTGTGTATGTATGCATGGTATTGAGATAGGGTCTGCCTCTGCCTCAGAGTTCTTAGGGCAGGGCAGAGGAGATGGCACAAGGAGTAAACGTGCTTGCCGTTCAGGCCTCCAACTTCATTTGATTCTGGAACCCATGGAAAGGTGGGAGTTCAGAACAGTTCTGTAGGTACCTATGTTATCCCATGTGACTCGGCATACATAAAGGATGGAGCCTGTCACCTGCTTAAGCTAAATGTAGCTTTCATTTATCCTGTTTAGCTATCTGAAGTAACTACCCTATTGTCTAAAGTTAGGGATTACAGAATGGTTAAAACAGTTTCAGGTTGGAATTTACCACTGAAGTTTTTAGTCTCTCTTTGTACGTCCAGATAACCTAAATGAAATGAGTGTGCTAAGGTTTTAAAAGCAGAAATAAAGTTGAAAACAATCTTAGAGATCTGTTTGTAATACAAATATTTTAATCTTCTTTACATCCTATGCTCAGGTAATCTGAAATGAGTTGTGCTAATATTTTGAAAGCAAAACATTTGAAGTCATTTTTCTTTGTTCTTCTAGAGTAAAATAGTGAGAGTATTAAACTTATGGCAGAAGAATAATGTTTTTAAGAGTGAGATTATCCAGCCTCTTCTGGATATGGCGGCAGGGATTCCTCCCCCAGTTGTCACCCCTGTTTTGGCCAGCACCACTGCAGCTATGAGCAATACTCCAGGTACGTGCCTGTCGTACAGACTTGTTGGAGACTCAAGTCACACTACTCACCCTAGCGTTCACATGCACAGTGCATAGAGGAGTTTGTCCAGCGTTAGAGACTTGAAGGCTGAATGAGGTGGCAAGTGCCAGCCATTAGTTCTTACACTGACCAGACAGGCAAGTGTATCTCTTTATGCTCATCAAATAAAATACTGTGTTTTTGCTGTTAATCTAAAATTTAGAAAACAATCTTTAAAAATTGATTTTATTTCTTTTTTTCAGTCACCAGAAACATTTTGGAAAATGTCTATGTAACAATTCATTTTGTTTTGTTTAGCACTACCAGGGATTGATGAACTAGCAGCCTGGCATATGCTGGGCAAGCACTCTTCCACTCATCCCAGTTCTCAATGAAAGTTTTTCTGATTTAGGTTGTCTGTAACTCCTTAAACCTGTATACGTAACTTAATTTGTTTACAGTATATTTGGGGAATGTAATTTTTAAGAACTCCAAAATTGCTTAAATGTAATTATCTAAAAATTTTATCATTTGGAACATTTTAAATATCTTCAGTTTTTACTCTGAACCCAACATTTGTTAACTTTCTAGTATGTAGTTCTTGTTGTACACCTGTCTATATACATACATACATATGTGTATGTGTGTGTGTGTGTGTATGAGAGTTTTGAACAAAAGTGGTTTCATCTTATAGAAACTCACAGATTTTACCAGGAAAGATTATATTTTTGTTATTTCCCCCATTAAAGAATTTTCTATAGTAAAACTGCTGATAGTTTCATTGAAATGGTAACTTTAAGACAAGGGTGGACAGATTTCGTGGGGCTTGGAGTGGAGAATTTCCTTCTTGTTTGTAAAATTACCTAATTACATACAGGCTGAAAGTGGTTTTCAAGATGGAGGCAATAAAGTGAAAGCATACTATCTGCTTATGTTTTATATATTAACTGAATAAATCTTTGCATCTTTTTAAGTATTGTTTACTTGCTTTCTTCTTTGGTGTGTGTGATGTCTTTTCTAAAAGGAACACCTGTGACACCTGTTACTCCAGCCAATGTGGTCCAAGGCTTACCTGATCCATGGGTATCGCAGATAACAAACACAGACACACTGGCAGCTGTTGCTCAGATCCTACAAAGTCCTCAAGGTCAACAGGTGAGTCTTTACATTATGTCAAGAAGGTTGAGGATGTGTCATCTTCCTAATGGGTGGTTCCATAGCGTACCTGCTTCATGTTGTGTCATCCTTTCCTGTTAATTTGGGAGCACTATGCTTGGAAGTTACACTTGTGTAGTTTTAACTCACTAACTCTTCGTGGACATTATCTGGTCATTGGTGTGTTTTCTGTTGTAAGTTTTTTCTATATCAGAATACTGGGGTAGCACATAGCATATGCCAACCATTATTAGGTGCCATTACTATCTCACTGATAAAATAGAGTGCATCCTGTGGTCATTGAGGCAGGAGCCAATAGAACATAAAGTCCCTTAGAGAAGTTACTGCTATGCTGCTTTGCACAGCGCCCTTGGGAAATGGTGAAGTCAGAGGAATGGTTCAGCTGTCTAAAGGAGGGACAGGACAGCCTGTCTCCCTCTTCTCATGTTGCTTCCTCCATTCTAGTGCTATAAAGAGTTGTGTGTCTTATTGGTGACCTTAGTGGTAAGGTCATGGTCGTGTTGTTTTTTTCTACTATAATATAATATCCAATACTATAGTAATATAATAGACAATATTCTAGTAGCAGTATAATTATGGTCTAATATGATAATTGCATAACTCTAACTTGTTTCCTCTTACTGCTGTTTTAAGATAGATTATTTATTGCTCTCTTGGATGGTATTTATACTTTCTCATACTAGCCGTCGATAGTAGTTCTGCCATTTTCAATTTTCTAATCTTTACTTACAGTTATAAATTATAAAAATGACACTCAGTGGTTTTTGTTTTATTAAGGTAACTGTTGTTATGAAGCAGTAATACAACATTCAGTGCATACATGTAATTTGTGATATTCAGATTGGGGTAATGGCATATTTACTCTCTCAGTCATTTTCTCTTATTTTTTGTTGTTGTTGTGAACAGTAAAATCCTCTTTACTGGATGTGTTAAATGATTGTTGTCAACTCTACCTGTCCTCCTTTGCTCTACCAGGTGGCTCCTGGGCGTTGAGTAAGCCCAGGCAGAGTTTACCCACAGAGATACCTCATCAGTTCTCCAAAGTGCTTTTGAAGATTTTACTTTATTTATGTGTCTATCTGGAGGCCAGAAGAGGTCTTTGGGTAGTCTGGAGCTGGGGTTACAGGTAGTTGGGATGTGCCTGATGTGAGTGCTGGGAAGCAAACCTGAGTCATCTGCAAGTGTGGCAAGTGCTGCCACTGAGCCATTTCTTCAGCTCCGTGCTTTGTTGTGTTTCTTAAGGATGGGTGAAGAGCAGGAATAGGTATTGCTGTAATTGTAGTTTGTCTATTCAGAATAGTAAGTTACACAGTCTGTTGAGTCTCAGACTGTGTCCTGTTGGACAGGTTTCTCTCCTGCTTTCAGGACATGGGTTCTCAGACAGTAGATGTGATTGAAAGAGAAGCTGCTGTCCTTGTGGGATTAACTGAAGAAAGATGAGGAGTTTAGTGAAAGCATCAGACTCTTGAGGGGTTCTCTGTGCTGTTGTAACAGTGTGACTGTTTCCTTTGTAGTGCTTATGGCTTTACAAATAAGCCAGGCTTTCCAGAGGCTTAGGTGCTACCCATTTCATCTGCTCTCCTGCTGTAGTACACACTGACTGAAGCAATTTAGGAAGATCGGGTTTCTTTCAGCTTACACTTCCAAGTGACAGTCCATCACTGAAGGAAGCCAAGACTTCCTAGAGCTAGCAGAGACTACAGAGTTTCCAGCTTTACGTTCTCCTACCTTTCTTATCCGTCCCAGGCCTCCTCACCTAGGGATGGCACCACCTTCAGTGACCTGCTAAGACATTGTCACAGGCTAGTCTGATTAAGGGAGTTTTTATCTTGAGGTTCTCTTTCCCCAGGTGACGTTAAATTTGTATCAAGTTGACACCTAAAAGTTTTTCCTATGACTTTCCACTCCTTGTTAACTTTGACATAACAGCATTTAAACCATAAATTTTCTTTTGTTGGTTCACTAACTCTTCCATTAAGTCCTAATATAAAATACACTACAGCATTAAAAATTCCAGTCTTTAAAATTTCCAACACTTTGAGGCTAGTATTTCTTTAAAAATCCACAGTTCTCTTCATTGTGGGCTCCTGTAAATTCTGTAATGCATTGTATACTTTCTTACTCCCGAAAGGAAGAACCAGGGCAGTTACAGTGAAATCAAGCTGAAACCAATACCCCACAGTGTAAAACAGCTCAGTATCTGACTTATGATCTGGGCTGGCTCCAAAGGGTTGAACAGAAATATATCTCCCGCTCTACTGCTCACTGTACACACATATGTCTCATAGTCTAAGGCCAGCTCTGCCTCATATTTGCCACTGTGACTGCTCCAGTATGCTAGGGTCACCACTGCAACTTTGGCTGCACCTTTGCCAGTGGCCTTCCTGGCTTCTTCGTGGACTCTGACCCTGTCACAAAGCTCCATGCCACTCTTTATTTTATGTATGTGGGTGTTTTGCCTGAATGTCTGTACCATGTTCTTGCCTAGTATTCATAGAGGCTAGAAAAATGTGCTGGCTGCCTGGGACTAGAGTTACAGATGGTTGTGAACTACCATGTGGGTTCTGGAAGTTGTACACAGGTCACAACTAGAAAGTAGCACATGCTCTTAATTTAATCTCTAGCTTCTGTAGCACCACTTTGAATCTTTTTGGTGACACCGTCAATCATTTAAAACCAGTACTGTGTAGAAGAAACTATTTGGTAAATTGTGGTGCCACGTGATGTGACATGCAGCCTCAGTCCGTGCTGCCCACAGCTTCTGTGGTAACCCTGAGGAAATATTTCCCAGACCATTTTCTTTGTGGCTGCCTTTCAGGCCCAGCTGTTGAGCCTCCATTGTTCCAGGAGCGTGTATTAGCTTTGTATGTCTTCAGGTTGTCCGACTTCTGTACTCACTTCTGTTTCTGGGCTGAAACACAATGAGTTATGGAAGAGTTTATTCTGACTTAGATGTTCAGATAGAGAAAACCCAAAGTAGCAAGGGAAGCATGGCAGCAGGCATCTAGAGCGTTCAGAAAGCTGGCTGGTCACGTGTGTCACACAGGAAGCCCAGAGACCAGAACTTTTAATTGCAAACCCAAGCCAAGAATGTGAACTGAAGTGTGGGAAGGCTGTAAGTTTTCAAAGCCTGACTAGCCTCCTTCTTTGGCCAGACTGCGCATTCCACCTCTGGCCTCTTCCCAAACAGTAGTACCATTATCAGAAGGACTACATGTTCAAACACATGCCCCCTATTGGGACATTTCTCATTCAAACCACAGCACATACTAACATTTTTCTCTGAAGAATGATAAAATTTATTTGTCAAAAATGTTTATCCAAAAGACCAAATACTAACCCAAAATTACGATAATATTTTTTTCTCTTCCAGCTTCAGCAGCTAATACAAACCTTGCAGATACAGCAACAGAAGCCCCAGCCTTCTATCCTACAGGCCTTGGATGCTGGTCTTGTGGTTCAGTTGCAGGCACTCACTGCTCAGCTTACAGCTGCAGCTGCTGCAGCCAACACGCTTACACCCTTGGATCAGGGAGTCTCTTTCAACAAGGTAGTGATTAAACCTACCGGTGTGTCATATGTGAATTGAAGACTGTGTACGATCATATAGATTCTACTTTTGTGGAGTATGTTTTATCACAGACTTGTGTGTTTGCTATGACCTTTCTGTGTGTAGCCCATGTTTGCTATTAATACCTAATCTGTCTGCCTTAGCCTCCTAAGTGCTTATTGTGCTGGTCTATGTTCTATCATTTGGCCTGATAAAATAATTAATCAGTGTGTGAAAATTCAAAGAAATTTTTTTGTAAGTTGACATTATTGTATATTTTATGTGTAGGCTTAATTATGGAGAAATGCTTTTAAAATTTTAAGCTGTTTAATGAATGATTTTTTTGTATGTTTGTGTGATAGCTTCATCATAGTTGTCTGGAGTGTATCTTGGAAATGCCATGTGTGTTTATATACATACATGCATACAAATGTGTATGCATGTTATTTCTGTTATAATTATTTTCATAGAAAAATCAATCCTGATTTCTTGGATAATGACTTGACCCTTTGACTAGTTGCTCCTAATTTATTCCTAATAGTTAGACCACATTTTATCATGAAGTTTGTACTAGTTAACAATTGGTTATGGCCCGAGATGGTTTTTAAGTTATAGTTCCATAATCCTTTATGTTCTAGTTGGTAGGTAATGACAGGTACCTAGTCTGAGTCTGAGGCCAGCCTGGTCTACAGAGCAAGTTTCGAGATAGCCACTACACAGAGAGACTTTGTCTTGAAGAACAAAACTGTGGTTTAGTGGTTTGCCTGCCTTGTCAAAATTGCTTCTGCTCTGTGATGATGCTGTAGTCCTTCTAGTCCTCAGATGGTTCCTGCACCTCCAGAGGAGCCTTGAAACCAGAGATAGAGCTAATCCATCTAAAAATGTATACACATACTTGTGATAATGCTTAATAAATAAAGTAAGCACCGTGAAAAAAGAAAAAAACCAGTAATATAATGAAACTACATGATTGCCATCTCTTTTAAAATCATGGCAGCAATGTTTTCAGACTATATTGTGCACAAGTGACTAGAGTTGCCTTGATGACTTCGTATGTTACAGTCCTGTAAGCATGTGCTCAGAGTGCCTACTCTGCTTCAGAATAATGTAGACTGACACACAACATTTACTTTGATTCAGTAGCATTCGTAATATGCATGTTGGAAGCACTTTGTAATTCATCTTTCTCCCCTTCCTTAGAAGTTGATGGATAGATTTGATTTTGGGGAAGATTCTGAGCATAGTGAAGAATCCAAAAAGGAGATTCCTACTCCTCAACTGTAAGAATTATGATTTTCTTTTTACCCATGTTTTCTGTTTCTGTTGTTCTAAATACTGGGTGGACTGTTAGCAGACTTAACAGTTGGAGTGAGCTTTTTATATGTTAGGGTTGTTTCAGGCTCTAAGCACCAACATTCTGGAGGGTGTAGACTTGGTATCTTAATACCTCTCTAGATTATTTGGATTCTTTCAGATCTTTGTGGTTGAGATATATCAAAGTTCTCTATAGGAAAATTGATAAGCACTAATAAGTCCAGTTGTGATATTTTCTTTTATCTTTATTGGCTTAAAATAACTTAGTTGTAAGAATATTTGTAATAGGTGGACAGATGCTTCTGTCAAAGTTCACTTCTAGAGTGTATACCAATTTCTGAGATTACATTGAACTAATTAGAATTAAGTATTAGAATTATATGGGTTTCATTTATTTAAATAAATGGACTTTTTATTTTTATTTAAATCAGTTGCTTTCTCCCTTTAATTGGCTGTACAGAGCCCTATGTTTTGTGAATGGGTTTGTAAAGACCAGTAGGCGAGTATGAGGTGGAAATTGGGAGAGAGTGAGAGGGATCTCACCCAAGCAGATGTAGTAGATGTTATATTCCGGGATAATGTGTAAGAATACATAAAATAAAATACTTTCTTTTGACATATGGACTTTCTTGACAGAAGTTTAAAGATAGTCTTTTAGATGATAAACAGTGACGTTGTAAGAGTCATCTGAGGACATATGGCTGAGGGTGCTAACCCATGGAAGACGTTGTTAACAGTCCTGAGGGCAGTCAGCACTTTCCTGCCTTCTCATGAAAGAGTTTGCAGACTGTTTTAGTGTCACATGTTCTGTTGAACTGAGTTTCTTTATTTTCTAGACAGTAATTCAAACGCTGTGCATTGAAAGGAAAATAAATAGACTGCAATTTCTTTCATGACAGTCTGTCAGTACTTGAAGATAGATATCATTCTTCCTGTAGGTTTATCTGCTTCAGGTGACAATGGTCTTGAGACCTCTCACCTGCTTGTTCCTTTTAAGGTGCCCTCTTTTCTCTCACGCTTTACCTTCTAGCACCCAGGATTCCACGGGTATTCCAGGTGTGACTTTCCCAGAGTATAGTTAAATTATTATTTTCTCTTTTATCTACAGACTGTTTGTTTCTGTTTACATACCTCATAACATGATGACACATACTCTATAAAGTTTATGGGCAGTGATAATTATAGATTTTATGCATGCTGGTTGATAGGACATTTTCCACTGTCTCATGATTTAAATTGATGTTTGCATACTTTCACCTTTTTTTAAACAAGTGTTTACAATTTTACATTATCTAATAAGAGTTACTAATTTATATGTGTAGCAGCATATCCATGTGTGTAGCATGAGACAGTGATGTCAGCTCTGTAACAGCGTCTATAATGCTTTTTTTGTTGAAATGTTATTGAGTATATTTCTCTCCCAGTGTACTGATTCTTCAAAGTATTCCATTTTGGGCAATAATATTTCAAAAAGAAAACACTACAGTAGAATTCCTTGTGTCGAGTGGTGGTGTGTGTGTGTGTGTGTATGTGTGTGTGTCTGTGTGCGCACGCGTGAGTGCCCCCCCCATGCTGTTCACTGACTATTAGCTCTTTGTTACCTTTTGTCATCTTACCTGCAGCTTCACCCTTTGTTTCTCATTTAGCTCTCACGTTTCTGAGTCTGTGAACAACTCCATCTTCCATCAGATAGCAGAGCAGCTGCAGCAGCAGAACCTGGAGCAGTTGCGGCAGCAACTCCTGGAGCAGCAGCAGCCTCAGAAGGTCTGAGCTTCCTGCAGTTACTGCACTCTGCAAATGGGCATTCTGTGAGACCCTTGGGTGGTAGTCTTTGGGGCTATTCATTCATCTTTGTTTTGCCAGCTACTTTATGTCTCTTCTAAGGTATTTCCTCTCAAAGACCTTTATAGCTGTTACTATTATTAAAAAAAAAGTCTCCTGGCAATATGATACATAAAAATGAATTTCATGATAGAAGACAGACATTTGGAGTTATATCTTAAAGCTTTATGTTTTTTCCTTTCTGCTGTACTTGTTTGTCTAGGAAGGTAATGACATTTATGTTGATGGTAGTGTCTACGCAGATTAGTATCACTGATTTTTAAAAGAAATTTATTGCTAATGCTACGTGATAGGAACTTCATCACACATAGGAGAGGCATGTTTTTACTTAAGTTTTCATGAGGAAGGTGCTATGACTCCCATTTACTCTGAAGGAAGTTGAAGCGTACTGAGATAAAAGATCTAATGCCAAGTGTATAGCTAGTGCTATCTGGTCAGTTTGAAAAATTGCATTTATTTTATGCATAATCAAGAGTAGGAACACTTCTAAACTAATATGTAGTATCCTCATGTCATTTTGAGATGTTAGTAGTTCCAGAGATGCTAAGATGTAGAAGGAAGAAAGTTTCACTTTAGAAGTGATAAAATATGTCAAGTTACAGAGTAAGATTTAGTTTTATAAAAACCTACTGTATGAGAAACACTGGTCGATATCCACCCATACTGGGCCTTAATCACTAAAGACGGTATCAGTCATGAGTTTAAAACAACCTACAAATACATTTTACACGTGATTACACATTTTTAGGCAAGTGACACATATAAAGATGGACAGGAAAGTAGTTCTGACCTAGGTGTAAAACCTTTTCTCTAAAGAAGTCCATATATTTGCATAAAACTAGGCTCCATAATAGATGTCACAGTGTATGGAAAGGACTTAGTACTTTTGAAGTTTAGAGCAATTTGAGACACAGAGCTTGAACATGACCTTGTAAACGCAAACAGTGTAATGTGGAGGTGTCCAGAGATACGGTAGAACTCATGAGCACAGCCTGATTTGACAAACAAGTTCTGATTCAGTTGGTCTGAGTAAGAGGCTTGGTTTTGTTAAAGCCTTTTGTTAAGACTACAAGGTAAACAGTGGCATGTTTGTGTGAGTCAGTCATACAGGACAGTAACTACAAAGTTAATAGAGACAAGGATGATGCTTTGTCCAATAACAGCTGTACATAGAACAGGCTGTCGTTCAGAAGGGTTAGCAGAAGCAGCAAGCCGAGGTTGCACTCCCAGCATGAAAGAGACTGGCCATTTGAGAGCACCAAGTCTGAAAAGTCTCACCTACCAAACAGAGAGCCAATTACTCATATTTTAGTTTCAAAACTTTGACACATACAGTAAAAAGATCCTTTTAGAAGAAATAGAACTTAAGTTTCCATTGTCCAGAGCTTGTCTAATGATAAAAGATGTTGTCTTAGTTAGGGTTTCTATTGCTGTGAAGAGATACTGTGACCACAGGAACTCTTATAAAGAAGACATTAATTAGGACTGGCTTACAGTCTCAGGTTGAGTCCATTATTATCATGTCAGGACATGGCAGTGTGCAGGCAGGCGTGATGTTGGAGAAGAACTGAGAGTTCTACATCTTGGTCCTCAGGCAGCAGCAGATTATTTGTCACACTGGGCATGGCTTGAATATATAAGACCTCAAAGCCCACCCCACAGTGGCACACTCCTCCAACAAGGCCTCACCTAATAATGGAACTCCTTATTGTCAAACATTCCAACACATTTGTCTATGGGGTCCATTCCTGGTCAAAGTACCACACTCTACTCCCTGGCTCCCATAGGCTTGTAGCTATCTCATAATACAGAAACGCATTCACTCCACCTTAAAAGTCCCCATAGGTTTTCCCTTCCTTTTTTTTTTTTTTTTTTTTGCTTATTCCCTCCCTCCCTCCCTCCCTCCCTCCCAACTCACTTTACATCTAGGTTGATATCCCCAAGATCCCCCCCCCACACATACACACACACAGTTCCTCATCCATCCCCTTCTCTTCTGAGAGGGTGGACCACCCCCCCATCTCCCATACTGGCACATCAAGTCTCTACAGGGTTAGATGCATCCTCTCCCACTGAGGTCAGACAGGGCAGCCCAGTCAGGGAAATGGATTCCACAGACAAGCAAACAGCTTTAGAAATAGTCCCTGCTTCAATGGCCCATAGTTTCTAACACCCTCAAACTCGTTAAAAAGTTCAAAATCTCTTTTGTGATTCCTGGAATCTCTTAACTGTAATCCCATGTAAAATCAAATCAGAAAGCAGATCACATACTTCCAACATATAATAGCACGGGTAGGGGAGGGAGCACAGTGAGGAAATACTTGATCAAAGCAAGACAGAAAACCCAACAGGGCAAACTCCAAACTCTGCACCTCCATGTCTGATGTCAAAGCACTCTTCATATCTACAACTCCTTTCAGCTTTGTGACTGCAACATACTTCTTTCTGTTTGGCTGCTTCCACTACCTGTTATCAGCTCTCCTTGGCAGATAGTCCACAGCTTTGACATCTCCAGCATTTTAGGATTTCCAATGCAATTCACAGCTTCACACAATGGGATCTGTAGGTCTCCAGGAAGAAACACCCCTGCCTCACAGCCAGGCCTCAGCAGCTTTCTGTAGTCATGGGGGTAGATTCCTTAACTCCTTTCTTCTTTCTTTGTCTCTAGAGCCAGAACCACATGACCAAAGCTGCCAAGTTTTGCTGCTTACTGGGGCTAGAACATGGCCTCCTCTTTAATTACATCTTTACCAGCTTTCTGTTTTCAATGATTTCTTTTTACTACCAAGGCTTGGCTGTCCTGGAACTCACTTTGGCCTTGAACTTAGAGATCCATCAACCTCTGCCTTCTGAAGATTAGAGAGGGTGCCTCTATACCTGGCACACAAGTGGGAAGCTTAGCTGGGTGGGGTCTTGCCCTGATCTCACCACTCTCTTCATTCCATTCACCATGAGTATTTTCTGTATCTCCTTGGACATAGGACTTAGCTCAGTTCTACTTCTCAGTGCCCTTTTTCTCCTCAACTTGTACATTTTGCATTTTTCCTTCTCAGCTTGCTCTATTTTGTTATAGATCTTCATAAAGAGTGAACACAGGACAGAGTCATTACTAGATTGTTTTGAGTTTTTTTTTTTTTTCTTCTGGCCAACACAATCCAAAACTCTTGAATTTAGCCTCAGGCAAACTTTTGGACAAGGACAAAAAGCAGGCACATTCTTTGTCAAACTATCACAAGAACAATCTCTAGGCCACATAGGAACATTCTCTGAACCCTCAGCACCACTCTCCTCCAAGTTCTTAGACTCCTCCTGTGTTCCTACTGGCCCATTAAGCCCTAGTGAAAGCATTCCACTGTTTTCCTAACCCAAGCCCAAGGTTCACATTCCTCCACATGAAGCAAAGTCAGGATTATCACAGCAATACCCCAGTCCCTGGAACCATGTTTTGGTCATGGTTTTATTGCTGTGAGCAAACACATGACCAAAGCAACTCTTATAAGGCACAGCATTTAACTGGGGCTGCCTTAGAGTTTCAGAGGTTTAGTCCATTATCATCATGGCACTAGAAGCATGGCAGTATATGGTAGACATGGTGCTGGGGAAGGAACTCAGAGTTCTCCATCATGATCTGCAGGCAGCAGAAAGAGACTGCATGCCACACTACAGATAATGGTGTGTAAGAAAGATAAGCAGCCATTTGCTAATGTGTGACGTGAACAGTGAGTGTGACCTGGCAGACTTAGGAGCAGGATGGTAGCTGGGTGACAGGTGTATGGAGGAAGTTGTGTGATTCAGGGTGGAATGAGTGATGACTCCATGCTTGAGAACATTTGCCACTCCTTGCAGAGGACTGGAGCTGGTTTCCAGCATCTGTGCTGGGTGCTTTCTTTACAACCTCCAGCTTCAGGAGATCATGTACCTAGGACACACATACACACAAATACATACAGACAAATAGATAGATAGATAGATAGATAGATAGATAGATAGATAGATAGATA